ACCATCCACCTTACTCACCAGATCTAGCCCCAAGCGACTTCTTTTTGTTCCCTCATCTAAAAATTGCGCTCGGAGGACAGAGATTTTCGTCAAATGAAGAGGCAATCACCTTCGTGAACAATTATTTTGCAGAGAAAAACGCCGAGTACTATTTCGACGGGTTACAGAGATGGGAGCATCGCTGGGAGAAGTGTGTAGATTTACAAGGAGACTATGTTGAAAAATAAAAAACAATTTTCAGAAAAAATGACTTGTATCTTTGTTAGGTCGGAAACTTTTCAGACCACCCTCGTATATTGGTACCACGCAATACGCTTTACATACACAAATTAAAGAAAATACGTCCCACTCGTTCCACTCATCTCTGCAATGCCTCAGTTTACGATAGAATATCTCACTATGTGATATATGCCTCCAGAAACGCAATAATTTAACAATTGCATTATCTTGAGGGAATGTTGTCTAAATTATTCATCTCCCTTACCATTTGCTTCAAGTCTATAGACTAGATAAAGCGTTCAAAAGTCTTTATCATAGAGAGACTATCTTGGCTTACTTTAACAGTTGTTATATATTGTAACACAATTGCAAAAGCATATATTAATTTAATTCATCAAACGCGTGTATTTTTCCGACTTATACCAATAGTAAATAATAAAAACAAGTATTAACTTTATATCTTTCAAGCTTTCATTTCCATCTTTTTATTTTGCAAGAATATTATTCAGACTTTATACTCTGTTCTTCAAAGAAAAATTTATGAGACAATGTATAGCGTTTCAAGTAATACCTCACTATAGTATGCATCCAAATAATGACAATGCATCGCAAACTCTTGTATCATCCATTGTTGTAACTCAACGCGAGGTATAAACTGTAATAAACAGCAGTTATCTATGATACACTTGTACGTCAGCTTGGCATAATCATGCAAGAAAAAGTAACGCTAAAAAAGGTGATAGTTGTCATGAAGTTGAGTTTATTCGTTATATGGTTTTGGCCGCTGCCACAGAACACCAGTAAACGCAAGCTGCTTTATCTGAAGTTGTATGAGTTCGTCTCTGTGCTACTGGCAATAATGTTTTTAGCATCGGTGTTATATGGTTTGATGAGAAATTTAAATAATCCTAGTCTCGTCATAAAATCAGTCTTGTCTTTGTTTCCTATCTGTCACCTTATCTGGAATATTTTAAGTCATGCAGTTATTTATCAACGCTTACAAGTAACTAACGTAGACTTTTTTTTTGAAAATAAATGTGTCTCTCTCGTACGTGTTCTGTTGACACGATATTATTTTAAAGATTTAATGGTTGCAGTACGTTACTTTCGAAATGGAGAACTTTTGCGCACTGATCGACCCTCACGAGGAAGCGATTATTCAACGAAAATACATCGATAAGTATACCAGCTTTTACGGTTTTTGCATAGCTTCATTCTACCTAACTCCTCTCGTTATCGTCATGGGACCTATTGTGTTGGACCAGCCACTTCCAGTATTTGCCGAATTTCCGTTTGACGTATCTCGTCAACCACTGAGAGCTATTACATACATACATCAAGCTGTCGTAGCCGTGCTAATATCAGGATATTTGTCGGTAAACGCTTTCATGGCGTTGTTAATCTGGTTGACGTCAGCGAGGTTTAAATTGTTGAGCGAAGATATACGGGCAGCTACGAATATCTATGATTTTATAAAGTGCATCGATAAACATCAATATTTACTTAAGTATGATATTGTTGTTTTTATATCTAAGGCAAATGTAATTAGCTAAAAATATCAGACTTGCGCATGTAGTTAGGGAAAAAAGTTGATATTTTTAGGGAATAGTATTAGTCATTGTGGAGAAAATTTTGGATATATTCACAAAGATAAATCTGATAATACACAAAGCTGATAATACAGAATTTATTATAACAGATATTTTTTTCATCTTTCTCAATGTAAGGGGAGTAAAAAATATAGTATGATGTTTGATATTTCAAATAATATTAACAAACCTTTTATGTTTAGATTTGAATAGCTCTATAATAATGTAATAATAAATATCTAGGTAATATGTATTATGAAAGCTTCTCATAATGATTAATACTATTTGTTAAAGTAGTAATCACTCTTTCTGAGATATAATTTATTTCTTACAATTACTTACTATAAATAAATAAGTGGGGACATATTTTTACTTTTTTCTGTACAGTAGTATCAGCAATATTTACAAGGAACATTCGCGAAGTATGTGTCTTCGATTTCGATGAAACTTGGCATATTTATAGAGTGGCCAAAAATAAGAGACCCATACTTTTTTACCGGCAATGGCTCAAGTTTAAAAGGTGAAACTACCTTTCAAAATTTCACCCCCTTGTTACTATCTCTGTAACTATTGGAGATAAAAAAAACTTCTTAGACAATAGTTATACGGTTTTTTAAAAAATAAAATTGACTAGGTTAAGAAAAAAATATCTTTAACAATTAACAAAATAGTCATTGTTAGTTTTAATTTTTAATTTTTGAAATTTGTTGTATAGATAAATAGTTAGTATTTTTATTCTGAATCCACTTATATATAATGTTTTATATTAAAATTATAATATTATTAAGATTTTATTAAAATATATAAACGGAAAGATATATAAGTGGTAGCGAACAGCGCGCTTGTAACGTGCGCAACCACTAAATTTTTTTAACGGGGTGGAAATGCTCAGCCCTCTGAAAAGGATCGAAAGGTATGCCACACAGATAATAATATAATACTAACAGAAAGATAATATGATCCAATTAACAGTTTCAACACGACCGCATATTTCACACGAAGATTCGTACGTGCCGTCGACATCTTCCACACAGATCTTATCATCTGCTAAATAAAATAAATTTGCAATAAAATTTGCAATAAAACGGCCGATATCACGTATACGTGATTTTACTATCCAGTTATCAACCGCGATCACATAAACGTAACTTCGTTTGGCCAGCAGTTATTGGCCACTATTACAACAAAATTCACTGATGGAAAACAATAAGGTTTGCGCGGAAGATGCTAGCGGCACGTAAGATGAATGTCTCAATTAATGACCAAGTAAGCTCATCGTGAAAATGAAATGCTAAATTAATAACATAAATGCTAAACTAAATACTGCGACGTCTTTTATTATCGATAGTAGCAGACAGTCGGCTGTCCGCTTCGTCGGCAAATTACCGCGGTCCCGGATATTGTTACGAACCCACCAACTCAAGTTGGGCGCCAGGTGCGGTAAGGCCGCACCTCCTCACTAATTATTACTCGCCAAGATCTCTAAATTACCGTCCGTCTTTGATATCGCGGGGACGGAACGGGACCGGTAGCTCTTCTTTTATTTCAGTCGGAGTAGGGATGGGTTTATTCGTTATGGGTGGAAGCCGAGGAAAAAGAAAGCACTCGTAATTTCGGTATAGATCTTTATTAGATCGGTACATGCGCTTTCCGGGCGCTATTCCTATCC